TAAAACATGTTTTATCAGCATTTTCAATTTTTAATTGATTGGCAATAAATGCTCTTGTAAACATTGTCATAATTTACCTAAATTGTCACACTTTTTTAAATGAAACACAGATTTATATTACTTTAATAAATTTTGACCTTTCATATTTTAACATTATGTTAATTCTTAATTTAATTTAGTATTGATTGGTTATTAATTAATCCTTTATCTTTTATTACATATAAATATTTTTACAGACAAAACAACCTTTAATGTACTGATGGAAATACTTTTTGCTTGTTTGTAGTTGATACTGTAAACGTAGTAAGCTTCTTACGTCGAATGCTATTGTGACGTCAGCAAACTCGCGATCTACCTTAAAATAGAAATAAATTAAAAAAACATATCTAATTGGAGTCATCAAGTATTAAAAAACCCGTATTTTTTACTTACATCAATCACTCCCACTTTGATTCTGGTCTTCGTTGATCTCATTTACTTCTTTAAGAAATTCATATATTGTAGCTTGTTTTGACTTTATTTTACCCAATTTTTTAAGTACATTGGCCCTCATTTCGTTAGGCAAAGTTGTACATGTTCAATAATGTCTTCTTTACTTTTGTTGGAAATGCCTGAGTGTTGTCTCAATGTTTCTGTGGGATGAAAATGGGAGTCTGGATGAAAGTTTGTTTGTAGTGATGTGAGTGTAGTAAAGATGTTTTTGTGTCTGCATTGTCTAGAAAATTGTGCGAGTGCGCAGTCTTTGGGTTAGTTGGAGAGTGTTGTGAGACAGCTTTGCTGCAGAAAACCACTTTTTCTGATCACTTTTCTGAAACACGCTATCTCATCTGTCAGGTCGTACGTATAACAGTAATTCATGTCCTTTTATGTCATCCCCATTTTTACTTGCAATATTTTGTCTGATCTTTAATTATTAAAGATTTTTGAAAATTGAATTACCACAAGTTTTGGTGCACTTATTTCAGCAGGTTGTGTTTGACAGAAAATGATTAACCACATCTATCAATGTTTCGACAAATAGTCAGATAGCAGACCAAAGGTTCCTCAAACTCTTTGCCTTCCTGTTTGGGTTTTCCAAGATAAAAATCGCCCCCTTCACCCTTAGTGTCGTTGCCACTGACACTGTAAGATTCATATTTTTCAATGAACTCACATACTTCAGAAGGACATTGCAGTCTTATCATTGAATCCATGTATAATGGCATGTTAAGACCAAAGAACAACGGAAAAAACATATTTCTGCTGTTAAGAATTGTATCACTGTTGTTCCGTCTAACGCCAGCACGAAATGCATGAAGGGTAAGGCTGAAATCAAAAAAGAACATCATTCATAAATTTTTGATTTGGGGTAGTTAGCCTATCAAGGAAACCCTCAACAATTGGGTCTCTATTGGTGTTGATGGCCTCCCTAAGATAGGGAACCATTATTTCCCCTACACATGGCAAAAAACGAAAATTTTCAAAGATCTGCCAGCTTTTATGGTGAGGTGGAATTTGGAAAAAAGCAATTTTAGAATTCTTTTGGTAACTTGCATATATATCTACACACACCCATATACCACATACAAACTTTAAACTTCATTGAATGTAAAGATGCTATATTAAATTTACCCCAGAGAAGTTTTCCAACTTTATCTGTCCAGAATTTTAATAAATTGGAAGCGATCCTATTCTGTATTAATTTCAACAACCAGTGTTCCACAAGAGGTACATCTGAGCTTGTCGGAAAGGTTTGAGCTAATTGCAATCTTAAGATTTTTACATTTTATTTTTCTTGCAACTAGATATACCCCTCCCCCATTTAATACCCCACGCAACAAGGTATAATGGTTTGAGCCGTCAGTCAGTTAGCCCACCAGTCCATTTTTTTTTGTCAGCGCAACTTTACATAAACTGCTGCACACACTTTCGTTCTTCACCTGAGATAATGTAGAGGAAAATGTATATGATGAATAAAAATATGATGATTGAACGTTTTGTTTATTATCTCTAGACAACAAATTCAGACCGGCCACCACGTCGGTTTCCAGTTGTATGACGTCTGTCTCCAGACCTGCCACCACGTCGGTCACCAGTCCTAAAACCATGTCTGTCTCCAGTCCTAAAACCACATCTGTCTCCAGCCCTGCCATTAAGTCGGTCTCAAGTCCTGCCACCACGTCTGTCTCCAGCCCTGCAAAAACATCGGTCTCCAGTCCTAAAACCATGTCGGGCCCCAGTCCTGTGACTAAGTTGGTCTCCAGTCCTAAAACCACGTTTGTCTCCAGTCCTGCAACCATTTCCAGTGACACTTCTGATCATTTCGCTGAAGGTAAATATGAAGTGGCAAACAAGAGGCCCAAAGGCATTGAATCGCTCTTCTGATAAATTGTACAATTTATCACTTCTATTAGAAGCCTCCAACCCTATAAGTATCATAAGACCCAAAATGCATCAACTTACAAAGTTTGATAATATTTAACCAGTTAAGACTGAAGATATTATAATATAATTATAAAATACCATAAGAAGTTAACAGTGACCACCTTTTGATTGAAATTTTCTGAGGACTCAAGATACATTAATTGAGAAAGACTGATGATTCTAATTAAATAAGTACCTGAGATATTCAAAAGTATGTCACCATGACCTACTTTTTGGTCAACATTCTCTGAAAGCCTAAGATGCATCATCTGACAAAGTTTGACGATTCTAAGCCAACTAGTACCAGAAATAACTAGAAAACTGACCAGTCAGCAAGGGCCCCGCCATGGGGTGGAATTATAAGGATGCAGCTTATGGAATGATTAAAAAATATATGAAGAAATAAGCAACTGTATTCTTAAAATTTTCAACATAATTCCTGGATATCCAAAAACCTGTAAATAATATCCTTGTATATTTACATTAGGCACTGGCAGTAAAGAACAACCTAACATTGAATGTATATATGAACAATAATGAAGTTTGTGTTTGTGTTATATAAAATGCCAGTCTAATACATGTATCATGAAGGCTTGACCTTAACTTCAAAACAAACAACAGTTGCAGACAAAGTTTTTCATTAATCTTAAAATGACAGATAAAGATAGGCCTACTAAATTTTCTTCAGCAGGCTAGATAATTAATCCTGAGGGATTAATTGTACCTTCTCATCATTTTCTTCTAAAGTTACCATAAGAACTTTTTTCAGTATTAATATTAGAATGGCTTAATCCAACTACCTTAAAAATTAATATTATTCTTGAATTTACATAAAGGAAAAAAAGTAAAAATAAAAGATATGTCTTCTTTAATCTATTTCTTGTTTTTAGAATTCAATGACATCATAACTCATTGTGTAAGTATTTTAACCAAAATAAAGTATAAACATTTATATCTAAATCCACATTTCAGAGTGTTCATAGCATTCTAAATTGACTGACTCGCCATGAGATTTTTGGCCCAAATGCGGCAAAACGTAATAATGAAAAAAACGTCACAATCAACGTTACAAAAAAACGTGAATTTCGCACACTTGTTAAAATAATTGCAGGATGAATTTAGATTGGGTAATGTTTTATGACTTTTTTATATTAACAAAAATAATAAGAAAATTGAACTTATATTGATTTATATTATTGAAAGTTTTTCGAGAGAAAAAAATTGAGTATATTTCGAGTTATTCCCCGTAAGACTAACTCTTCTTTAGCGTCCAAGTTGTTGGTGTAAACAATCATGGCGTCTTTAGCAATGAGGGAGATTTGAAACTTATTAGAATCACCGGAATGGAAAACTGCAGCCAGCTAAGCCAGTCAAGTGCAGTTTCTAATGCAAGTACAATCCCCCCAGAAATAGTAGAAAACGAAGATGAAGAATTTGTAAACGAAATAAATCGAGTGAATGACCTATATTTTGGAAACTTGTCAAACAAGTCGGATGTCTACCCAGAATATCAATCGGATAACGCAGAGAGCTCTGACGAAAATGAAAGCGATGAAGAAATAGAAGATCGGGAAAATTTAGTACCCATAGAGCAGAGTGAGGTACATAAGAATGAAACTGACCAATTTCAAAAGTTTCATTCTAAAACATGCGGTTGTTCTCGACTCTACGGAAAACCATGTAGTGAGGTCGTCGATTTAGAATCTTTGCTTGAATACAGAAACACGTGCCTGGAAATGAACAAGGATGAACTAGATATGATGATTAAAGTGCAATTATTTCACCATCGCCGAAATGACAAAGTGACTAGTGCAAAGAAACATAGATCAAAAGAAAGGGAGAGGATTAGACAAGAATATTTTTTTAATGGACATCAAGTGTGTAGAGAAACATTCGCGTTTTGCCATGGGGTATATAGGAAGACGGTTGACGCACTTGCTCGTTCCCTTGATAAGGATGGACTTGTTCCTCGAGTCCATGGAAACATTGGTATTAACATCCAAAGCATGCCCTCACTGTAAATGATGTTCAATCTGTAAAAGATTTTCTAACATCTTATGGAAACAAGTTTGGTTTACCATTACCAGGAAGACTGCCAAACTATAGAGATTGTAGAGCTATAGTGTTACCCTCTGATAAGACAAAAGCTGATATACATCAGGACTATTTGTTAGCAGCGGATAGTCTACATTTGAGAAAGATATGCTTGTCAGAGTTTAAAAGAGTTTGGCTCAATACATGTCCACATGTACTAATTAGTAAACCTTCAACAGACCTGTGTTATCAATGCTAATCCTATGCAAATATCCTGATTCATGGTGGCAATATGACAGAAGAAGAAAAGGGACAACATCTTGAGAAATACACAGTTCATGTTGAAAAATCAAAGATGCAGAGGGATTATTACAGAAGGCAATGTGAAGTTTCTAAAACTAGCTTTTCTGCTCTTCCAAATAAGAGAAAAACCAGAGGTAACAATTTATTATATGATTAAAGTAATATTGTTTGAAATTAGTTGATCATTTTTTTTTGCATCTAGCTCTGTTAATTTTGTGATTTTTCTTAATCAATTGGCTATTGATATTTTCCCCAGGTCAGCCCATCTGCTCTTTGGAGGGAACTCAACATTACAGTTTTGATTATGCCCAGCAAATACATTATCCACATTATGCGCAACAGGTTGGTCCTTTGTTCTTCAAAACCCCACGGAAATGCCAGTGTTTTTGAATCTGTTCAGAGGGTTCAGGTAATTTTTACAATGTCGAACACAAGATTGCAATAGTCTCTTTGATTTTTTAGTATTTAAATACTCTTTAAGTTCATTGATAGGAAACAAAATATATAGATTTATGTACAAGTGTACTGGTCAAACAGTTAAAGCATAATATGTAAAATTAAATTTATAAAAGAGATTAAGCAGTGCATTTAATTGGCAAATACATGCAACCTGTAAATTTAGAATTACATTTTTAGAAACGCACCCTTTAAAAGAATGATTAACTTTTTTTGTGAATTTTTATCCAGGATCACAGATATTTTACTTGATTGATGAGTCGCAGCATTCTGGAAAGGGGGCAAACTCTGTTCCCAGTATGATTCACCACCATTTTCAACATAAAGGTTATGGAGAAAAGAATTTACAACTCCATATGGACAACTGCACTGGTCAAAATAAAAACAACACAGTTATTGGGTATGTATTTCCAATCCAACTGTCTATATAATTACCATTTGTGAGGGTGGTATTTTTGCAAATACAATAGGTGTCTTCATGTCAAATACATGCATGTTTACATGTAGTACATGTAATGACACACACCGGCAAAATTATTGTAAATTCATTTGCCGACTTTTTAAAGTTTAGTTTCATAATCAAGTTCTATTAGAAGTGCATTAAACATTTTGTTTAGAGATTTTGTCTCTGCCAAACATTATTTTAAAAGAATGTCTTGTAGATATGGGATGTGGCGAGTTATGACTGGCAGACATATGACCATTGAGTTTTCTCTGATGGAGGCAGGCCACACAAAGTTTCATCCTGACTGGCACTTTTGGCTCTGGAAGGTGAAATGGCGAGGAACAACTGCAGAGAATCTCGAGGAAGTGGCCAAATCTGTTGCTCATTCATCTAGGAATAACCATAATATTCCCCAGCTTGTAGAGGATCCCCAGTATCCAGTTATTTTCTATGACTGGAGCACGTTTCTCAAGCAGTACTTCAAGACAATACCTCAACTCAAGCAGTATCATCATTTTCGGTATGCATTATATTGCCTGTTTTTTGGAACAATTCATTCATTAAAAGTTGGGTTATCACAGAACAATAAATGCACAAAGGCATATACAGTGTAGATATGTTCAAATTATATTATTTTTTTCATTTTATTTATTTGGGTCAGAATTTCATGACTTAGTAAAACCAGAGGTTTTTAGACCAAAAAGTTATCAAAATTTATTAAGTATTTATTTAAATACATGTACATCTTATCATATTATTTTTTTTTTAATTGTGGTGTTTGATTGTCATACATTTTTTTTACTTATGCTTTCATAATTTATCCCTCAATTAAAAATCTCTATGTTGTCAAATTAAAAAAAATTAGATGAACATGTATACAAAAAAAGAGCAAACACTTAATACAGATTTTAAGCCCATGTTGACAAATGCAGATGCTTAGTGTAAGGTTATGAAGAATGCTGTTAACATTGAATATTGAAATTTTTTGTATTATGTTGTTTAAAACAGAGAACTGAAGAGAAATTCAAAAAAAATTAAATGCCATCATTTATGCAAGTTGAAGTATGACTGTGCTCATTCAATACATTTTGTTAATTAATGCATTAAACTGTGTAGATAAATATATTTAAAAAAATAATGTTTGATCTAACATCTTTTGCAGAATGACACATGAACATCCTGGAGTAGTGCATCTACGAAAGTATGCTACAGATGAAGAAATAACTGTCAACATCCTGAAACACAAAGATTTCAAGTTTCCAAATATGGATGCTTCTCTCCCAACTGTCATTAAACCATGTGGCCTTGACGCACAGCGACAATGGTATTTATATGACGAGGTACCACCATACTGTGCCAGTCATGAGGCATGTCCCCGCCCATGTGTACCAAAACCATCAGCCATAAAAGTTGAACAGAAAGTGAAATTAGGAAAGAGAAAATGTGCAAATTGACATCGTAACAAATCAGTGTAATTTTCGTGCTGCCATGGATAATAAGAATTTGATTTTATCAAGTTTTTAAAACTCTTATATTCTGTTGTACTGATTTGAAAAAAAAAAATATGTGTTTCGAAATTTATGAAATAGCATCTATTTTAAATTGTGTTACTTTATTGCTTTTATGTAACTTCAAATTCACAGAAATCACCAATTTGAAAAAACAAAATGTGTTTGTGAAACACTATGCACCCGGTGGCGCCTAAGTTTGAAAAAGCTATTTTTAGCATATAGATCACAGTCAAGGTCACAATGTCGTTAACCTTGTTGACATTTGAAAGAACTTAATTTAGTGGAGTATGCATACTAGATATTAAGTTTCTGTTTCTTATGGTTAAAAATTTATTGCGATGGTTTAAAAAGGCTATTTTTAGCATATAGGTCACAGTCAAGGTCACAAGTTCAATCACAAGGTCATTGACCTTGGTGTCGTTTGAAAGAGCTTAGTTACTGGAATATGCATACCAAATATGAAGTTTCTATCTCTCATGGTTCAAAAGTTATGGTGAAGATTAAAGTTTACAGACAGACAAGACAAAAACAGTATGCGCCCCTGATCTATCGATCCGGGTGCATAACTACCAGGTAGTAAAGTCCAATTTTCTTGACAATGGATAGGGATATCAAAGAAAAAAAAGCAGATACTTGTTACTGGGGGTCATCTCTACTAGATAATATAAAAATCTCATTTTCTCCCAGGTACCTCATTTGGGCCAAAATTCTCATGGCTTGTCACTTATTTAATTATCGTGTTGACCTGAACAGACGACTATATGCTGCGATCCAGATGTTCTCAACATTAGTCCACCAGTGCACCTAGCTTTCTGTCATGGTTAACAATAGCTTCTTCTGAATGTGATCTGCTACAATGGTAATTTCACTACCCCAAGATGCGTGTCTACTATACTTATTCTTTCCCATATGGAGGAACATACATCTTGACCAAAATTGCAAGTAGATGCTAATATTTTCAGCTCGGTGACATAAGTATCAATTGTCTTACCTGCCTCCTGCATGTGATTGTTGCATCTGAATCTTTGACCGTTTCATTTTTCTTTGGACGGCAGTACGTGCCTCCAGTGCAATATATATAGTTCTATCCTTCTCTTCTTTCTCGAATGTCGGAGTATTGTAGATTTCTTGACCATTGCTACATAACCCAAGCCATGCAAAACGCTTAAGTCCTTACAACATATCAAGAAGAATATGTACTATAGTTTGTGCATGACAAAAAATATATGTCAAAGTCAATTGCAAGCCTTTCTTTATAAACAAAGTTATCCTATGGAAATTATTGAACACGGAATCAAAAAGGCAGTAAAATTTGACAGATAATTCCCTCCTCTAAATCCTATCAGAAGCAAAACCTCAGTTTTAAAGATACCTCTTGTTAATACGAAGAATCCGACGAACTTAAATATTACCTCAACCCTTCGACAGCTTAAGAAGATTCTAAAAACCTATGTGAAAATGACCAAAAGAATTTAAGAACTTCTTTCAAATGAAATATATATGGAAATTCCAAACATACCTTAAATATGATACAGAATTATATTTAATTTATTTTACCCGAAATGTGTAATTACTTGTCAGATTTTTCCGACGGGGGGCATGGCGTCACTGCAACAAACTGCACCTGCTTCCAAAGCCGAGAAAATAAAGGTTCGCCAGCAAAAGAAGGAAAATGGGACAGTCTAATCAATGCTCAACTAAATTCCCCGCTCAAGGTTTATGGGCCAGTAATGTGGTAATCGTTTATTCTGGTGCCACCTAGGTCCCATCAGACCCCTTTTTTGATATCCTTCCCACTAGACCTGTATTCCATGCAACATAAGTGGTTAAATTTGCAAAAAAGCGATTTGCGGCCAGGAAATTTCGACGGATTATGTTTCTCTTTTTTGCCCAACATGATGATACTTGACCAAAAGTTTCAATGTTCTTAAATGGTTAAAAGGAGGACCAAACCGCAATCTTAATTGTTGGTGACTTCAAGTACAGCCCAAAGGGAGGAATTTGACATTGTGTCACTCCCTATGCTCAAAAACTAAAATTCATTCCCTTCCGTACAGTAAAAAAACCTGTGTTCCTTTTCTGTACAAAACCAATAGATGCGGGTGGGGGGGGGGGGTCCTAACTAATCTCTCCAGTTCACGACACAGTCGTCCAGAAAGATTTTGAGATATGTGATTTTCATAGCAGTTTACATAATATATCCAAAAATCAAAGAGGGCGACGGTGGCAGACACTATTTTCTGAAGGAAAATTAGCACACGGATTGAGTCATTTTGATTCTTTCCTACATTAAAACTAGAAATGCACCAAATTAATGACGTCATACTTCCAGAAAGGTCCTCCTTCATGTCATATTATTTTATGATTTACATATTCATTTTCTCCACTACTGTTCAAACCAATTTCATATTCTGAAACTTTAGAACATTAAATCTTTAGGGCACAATAAAACTCAAACTGTACCTTCTTCTTAAGAAATATCTTATAAATCAACCGACAATATCCAACATTACCTTTATAGTTTTAATAGTTTTGTGCCTTGCCTCCAGATGCAAATGATGAATATTTTGGATACTGCAGTTTGCGATGCACCTATTCCATAAAATAAGGTTGCATCAATCATTTTGTTGTTTTTCGTATATGTCAAGGTCACGACACTTACTTTTAGCTCAAACTTGTTAACAACATTCAACTGGAGCAATTAAGCCAATGTAAGAATTATGTTCTAACAACCTTTTAAAAAGACTGTATCCAATTTCTGGTCTATTTTCAATCAATCATTCCTAGGTACTTGAGACCATGGTAACCATAGTAATTTATTCAACTTTTCCGCACATGGGTACAATATGGTCATTTTTCTGCTTACTGTTGTTGCTGAAATACAAGTAACAAAAGCCGATGATAATCAGCATGTACAAAATTTTGCTGGTTAACTGTGACCTTTTAGCTTCGCGCCTAGGAAATATTCATCCTTAGTAGTGCCTTACGCCGTGACGTCAGGCAATAATTAATACTGGAAATAATTTTTTAACTGCTGGGATCAGAGAAGTGTCAGATGGCAAGGGAAAAACATATGTAAATGGCACAAAGAAATGTCTGATATTTCAGAGAGAATGTGACCTTGTATTACGACCGATAGAAGTTCTACACAACAGAGAGTTAATTCTATTTTATAAAGTGAAATGCATGGATATATTAGTAGTATCAACAAGATGACATGGTCAAGATCTTACGCGCATGCACGTGCGCTTTGCTCTGAAACTAAAGTCTCAATATCTTTATTGTTTTACTACAGTATCCTTTGAAACTGTTTAATTATTTCCCATAATCCCACTTGAAGATTTCCAATCCAAATACCACAATGGTGGTGTTATTAGACGTCACCACGGAGGCTTCCACATTGTCAAACACTGCTACTATGTCATATTATACATGACCATCTACCAAAACACATCAGAAACAAATTCAATGTCTGAGATTAATGTGTGTCCAACATTTATCGGCAGACTTGGCAATAATTTGACTTGGCAAGGAATTTTATGAAACTCACAATGCAGGGATAAATTAGTAGTATCAACAAGATGACATGGTCAAAATGGCAAGATCTTACGCACATGCACGTGCGCTCTGCTCTGAAACGAAAGTCTCAATATCTTTCTTGTCTTACGTCAGAATCCTTTTAAATTTTGGACATAGTCATATATTATGAAGATCTACAGCATTAAAAAAAGTCTTTTATGAAATTCTGTGATACTGAGCATATTTAAAAATGTTTTAAAGGAAATTGGCACAAAAATGGAGTTGGGGAGCGTTTGGGGAACATCTGTAACGGTCCTTGTTACAATTTGAACTAGTTTAGTTTAATTTTAATTAATTGACTCACATTTTAGTATACTAGTTAACAATATATTACAAATTCAGATCTAAGTGCACATATCCTGCAAAATTTTATAAACATAAAATCTCTTGTTGATATTTCCCATATATATTATATACTATATACTTGTATATATGTTGTAGAAATTAAAGGCTAGGCGTTCTGTCTTTAAACAGAAATCAACATGATGAAGAAAAGAAGGTAGAGGAAGTCCTTACTATTGATTTCATGTCATCGGAATATAAAAACACCTCAGATGATGACACCATCTATGAAATTGCCAACCTAAGTTGGCGGTCCGACGAGTGCCTTAAGGCATTTAAAGAACTGGACACTTAAGCTTCTCCTTTCAAATCGAAAAGACAAGAGTATGAGAAGAAAACGATCAAACAGGGAATCAAGAAGAGATAAACCTGATGAAGTTACACTAGATCAGAAATGGACTATTAGGAATTAATTGATTAATAAAATGTCGCCCTTGACGCTGAGCTGTCATTCGGCTTTTATTTTCAATACTGGCATGATGTGTTCTATCAGAATTTTCCCTATGATGGAGTTATTCTCCGGCGTACATGTTGTCCAATACTACGTAATAATAGACGATGCGACCGGAAGGAACTGACCAGATTCCCTGTGGCTGGATTTACTTTATCAAGTCATCTCCAGACCGAGAAAACTGAGAGGGCTACAACAGACAAAGGACGTCGGAGGGACAGAAGCAGTCGGAATAGGAGCAGGAGCGGATCTCCATGGCGGAACCCATCCCCCCACCTCCGCGAGGGAGTTTTCCCCGGTGACTCCCCCTTCCACTCCAGAGTCCCAAAAAGCAGTTAATTGCTGCGGTGGTTCGGGCACTAAGGAGGTACTAGATAGATGCCCCAATTTGTTGGAGTGAGAACGTAGCCAACTCGTTTACCTGTAGAAGACGTCCATGTTTCATGGAGTGTTTAAGAAGAATCCTGGTGATTCAGGCGCCCTGTCCCCTCTGCCGTTTCCGGGGAAGGAGACTCTTTGTTGCACCAAGGCCTTTTGCCAGATAGATAAAGACATCTAGTTGGTCCTTCCACTTGAAACCAACATCATAAAATTTCGAGTGAGCAGGGCACAACAGAGTTGACCACCCCATCTGCCCTCCCCTGTCCTCTGAGTACCGGACAAAATTAG